GACAGAATCAGAATCAGAGCTGCTCTATTCACACACAACCTCTTGTTGCTCTCTAAAATAATCATTTAATCAAGTGTTTACAAATGTAGGTAAACGTAGATGTTTAACCCGTTAAAATAGGCTGCACCAAAATGCAGGAAATAGCATCTACTTTATTCAAAATGTAAGGGGGAGGAGGACCCACAAGCTCCCTTCACTACCCCCCCCCCCCCCCCCCCCACCCCCCCCACACACACACTGTAGTTGAAATGGAAGAACAAGCCTAAAGTTAGCAGAAGAAAGCAGAAAGAACATATATTTGCTGAATTAGTTTTAAATTAGCAGAATTTAGCACAAAAAATGGAAAATGAGCTTAAAGCCTTTTCATCAAAGGCTGAAATTGGCAAAAAAACTAAATATAGCTGAAAAGGCAGAAAGGAACTTAAACTATGTGAAAAGAGCTGAAATGAGCTTAAAATAAGTGGAGTCATTGATCACAATCTTCATCTTCCTCCTGCAGTGGATTTTTTAAAACTTTCCTCTGTCAGCATCCACTGGCAGACTGGAGCAGAAGTTGCTCTTTGCATGTCGCCAGTTTTGGTAAATGATTTTTTGCCATTAGTCATCCAAGCCTCCCACAGAGCTTCGAGTGTCACGTTAATACATGACTCACACTGATATCGAGTGGCAGGAGAAACATGTACTGGGCAGCTATGTGAGCGCCGGGATGTGATGAGGCTAAATGTTTTGGTGTCATGAAGCTCGTTAGCCCATCAAAAAACAAAAACCCATAAATTAGCCTCAGCTTTGTATAAGCTGCGGGGTTCGAAGTGTGTGGAAAAGTAGCGGCGTGTATTCAGTAAGTTACGGTAAACTGAAAGGAGCATAACAAGCTGAAATGAACACAAAACGTAAATTAACATAAAACACCTACATAGTATACATACTGTAGCTGTTTTGTATACCAGTACATATACATAATTGCTGTTTTATTCAGAAATAGCAGAAAAAGCTGAAACTTGCATAAATAAGCTGAAAGGAACATAACAAGCTAAAATTATCAGAAAGAAGTAAAAGAAGCCCAAAAATGTTGTAGTTAGCAGAAAGAATCTTAACAGATCACAAAACAGCTGAAAAAACAGCTGAAATTAGCTGAGAGTGGCTGAAAAATGTTTAAATTTGCACAAAGAAGCTGAAAGAAGCTGAAGCAGAACAAAATGTGAAAGGAACAGTAAAAAGTTGTAAACAGATCTAAAGATCTGAAGGATGTCAAATGAGCTCAATTCATTTTCTGAGGAAAAACGTGTCAGAAACGGTTAAATATTTCAAACAGCTTAAGTTGCACCAATACCAAAAAGTCATAGCAGGATTGTCCTGAAAGCGCTGAACATTTTTGATATTTCATTTGTTGAAATATCACAAAAACTGCAGAATGAGAAAGATGCTGAAAAACATATGGAAGAAAAAATGGATCCCAATAGTGTGACTGCAGGGCAGAACGGTGGCACAACTGGTAGAGCTGCTGCCTCTCAGCGAGAAGGTCCTTGGTTCAAACCCCGGTCCAGGGGCCTTTCTGGGTGGAGTTTGCATGTTCTCTCCGTGCATGCGTGGGTTTTCTCCGGGTGCTCCGGTTTCCTCCCACAGACCAAAAACATGCATGTTAGGCTGATTGGTAACTCTAAATTGTCCCTAGGTGTGAGTGAGAGAGTGAATGGTTGTTTGTCTCGTTTGTCTCTATGTGTCCCTGTGATGGACTTGCGACCCGTCCAGGGTGTACCCCGCCCCTCCCACAGTGATTGCTGGACATGGGCACCAGCGACCCCCGTGACCCAAAATGGAATAAACGGGTAAAGATAATGGATGGATGGATAGTGTGACTGCTTCATAACATTCACACAACTAGATCTACATCCATCAATTATCTACTGAGAGTGTCACTAAAATCCATCCACTTGTTCACACACACACACACACTGTAGTGAACCAGATGACCTCAAATCTACCAGATGGACAGAGACTGTTATTTTCATTGATCTGAATGAGTCTGGGCCATCTGATGAACTTTCTTTCTTGAATTAATCAAGCAGAAAAGACAATTCTTTATAATCATTACTGTCTTACAAATGTTTTGATAATCAAATTGTGTTAGTTCACTCAATGCTTTACAGGTTGAAAAGAACTACTAATTTTTATTTTACATAAACAGTAAGTAATGATTTTTGTTCCTCATTCAGAGAAGAAATCACCTGAATATGCCTTTCTTGATTTTCTGTCTGAAATGAGCAAGCTGTCGTAAGTATGTGAAAGGTTGGTCTTCGGTCAACTAAAATGTTTACTGAAGAAGAAATGTCATGTTTAAACTTTTTCAGAAGATTACCAAGAGTAGACTCCAGAAAGTCTGCTGCTTCTGCAATAATCTTTTCTGTATGTTAAACAAGTTTCATTCTCTGACCTCGACTGTTGATAAACACCTTACGTCAAAAACACACCTCTTTCTGGTCCTTCCACGAATCAGAAAGCTCTAAACTGAACAGGAAGTAAACTCATTTAAAATGTGACAACTGCCCAGTTCAAGTTAGAATGAGAGCTGACAACAGATTGAGAGTTCTGGAGAATGTGAGAGTTCCAAGATTGAGAATGCAGTCGGTTCTGAAAACTTCAGAGCAATGAAGAATCCAGAGGTTTTTTGGGGATTATAATTCTGTTTTGAGCTAATCAACGCACGACTTTCTGAAGGTTTGGTAGCTCTCGACGGAGACGCTGAAACGAGTCAGAAAGGAACTACATCCAACGCTGATTCATCATCAACAGGTAGATGGTTCTATTTTGACCAAGTGTACCGTGAGAAGCTGAGATCGGACGGAGCGTGCAACTTCTGGTCAAACAGATTAAATTCCCTCACA